TATATATATATATATCATTCCTGTTATTACGTTAGTTAGATACTAGTTATCATGTGACGTTAGTCATTTAAATTTATCACACTTGAATATGTAACACATACATACACTATATTATTTCTTCTTTGTATTAATGCATGATATGAGTCTGTCCATCTCATTAATATCTCAACATTTGTCAGGAAATCTAACATATGGGATAGTGTACAAATTAAATAATGAGATATTTATTACGAACCTGTTGATAATTTTTTCGTTGCTTCTTAATTTATTTCATTGAATATAATGTTAACATCAAACTCTATTTAATAAAGGAATTTTTTTATGTTAGTATTTAAACAAAGAAATATTTTAATATATATTTATAATATATTAAAATGTGGCACACATAACTCTTTAATTAGATCTCTATGCGGATGAATTAATATATTATAATATTTTTTATTAGTGTACATTCTGAAATTAATTTCAATGTTATTTTAGAGCGCGGGAGAATTTGCCTGGGATGAAAAGACTCAAGGTATCATATTAGGTGCATTCTTTCTTGGCTATGTAACTACAAATGTTCCGGGTGGTAGGATGGCTGAGAAAATGGGTGGCAAATTAATTTATGGTCTGGGAGTGTTTCTGACTGCTGTTCTAACCGTGATAAGTCCCTTCGCTGCGTATTGGGGTTTGGTTCCATTTTTGGTTGTACGAGTCGCAGAAGGATTTACCGAGGTAAATATCCTCTTTCCACAACATGTCTATAAATATTTATGGAAATTAATATTTTTTCATATATGTGATATATAGGGGGTAACGTTTCCTGCGATGCACAGTATGTTGGCACATTGGGTACCTCCATTAGAAAGAAGTAAATTTGCTGCTCTGGTATATGCAGGTAATTTGTTTGTCTCTGCCTTTTAATATAAAAAAATATTTAAGAAATTACTCACGATATTTTTCTCAGGTGCGAATTTCGGAACTGTCATCTCATTACCAGTGAGTGGTTGGCTATGTTCCTTAGAATTATGGGGTGGTTGGCCCCTTGCATTTTATCTGTTCGGTGGTCTTGGTCTCATGTGGTATGTGTTCTGGTTGATATTCATATATGACACTCCTTCGCAACACACGAACATTGATCCTTCTGAAAAAGCGTATATTGAAGCTAGCGTCGAGAAAAAAGACGATGTTAGTATGACGTTTGATGTATAAATATTTCTGCGAAGTTATCGTTCTTGACTTGATTGATGATCAAATTTTAAACAATAGAACGATGATACGGGAGTACCTTGGTTGTCCGTCTTCACCTCTTTACCTATATGGGCCATTGCTATTACGCAGTGCGGTCAGTCCTGGGCCTTCTACACTCTTCTGACCGAGCTGCCGACGTATATGGATAAAATTTTGCATCTGAACGTACAACAGAACGCATTTCTTTCGGCGTTACCTTATTTGAGCGCTTGGCTAGTGGGTCTTTGTATCTCGAGTTTCGCGGATGCACTCCTAGCTCGTCGTCTGATCTCACCTCTGGCCTCGTTCAAACTATGGAACACGGTGGCTTCGTTGGGACCCAGTCTCAGTTTCGTCGGTGCTATCTGGGCCGGATGCGATCGTATGACAGTGATGTTGATGCTTGCCGGATTGGGCTCTCTTCAGGGTGCGGTGTATGCTGGAAATCAGATGAATCACATCGCATTAGCACCACGTTATGCGGGTACCTTGTATGGATTAACAAATGCTGCGGCAAACGCGTGTGGTTTCTTGGCACCATATGTTATCGGCAGTATAGTAGAGGGACATGTTAGTATATTTGTCAAATTTTTCGTTTCAAGCGTTCGTTAGGATATATGTACATTGTTTTTCTCTTGTATTACAGGAAACTCTCGCACGTTGGCATACAGTTTTCTGGATGGCAGCGGGAATAAATATGGCTACGAATTGCTTCTATTTGATGTTTGCATCCGCCACTGAACAGCCATGGAGTAAAGGCAGTTGATGACAATGTCGCATTAGAAATGCGATATTAAGCGTGGAAAATAATATATTTTTCAATCACGTTGCACATAGCACATTTTAATTTGGTTAGTCAGTTTTATATAATTCGATAAATTTATTATACTAATCATTATTTCGCAAAATAAGTTACTTTATTGTTTTTCTAAAGTTATAGTTGTATCGTATTTATCGTTGAACGTGCAATGACAAATGAATCAAATTTCGGTATTATCAACTTTATTGCAACATGTGGTACACAAAGGAGATAGACGTCATCGACTGGCGTTCACGTCAGATAATTGGGATTGATTAACATATTTTTTCACCTCCCCATTTTGCTTCATTTTATTAATCCAGTTATATCTTGTCTGAATACATAAAAAGTTCTGTAATTCCATGAAGAAATTAAGTAAGTAATAACGCTAATACTGACATTACTGACATAATACTGACATTATAAGATGTTCTCAGTGCAAAAATGGTAGAAAAAATGATGTACATAATAAATCGAGAACAGAGAGTAAAATATTTTCAGGACTTATTTCCGTTTTCGAAGAAATATTTTGAAGATAAGAAAATTAATATTATGTCCTTGTATTTTTTTATGCATTATTTATAACAATATTAATGCATATAATACTGAATTTATTTCAGTAGTAATTATTAATATATTAATATTAATAAAATAATACCATTTTTAATAAAATATTTGTAATTTAAATTATTTTAGATATTATATAAAAAAATGAATTATTTTTATTTTTTCGATAGAATGTTGCATTTTTTATGTATGTTCAATAGTTGTTTTTGCAATTCGACGAGTTTTATATTATAATAATTTTATAACAATATCATTTACAAAAAGTAAAGAGAGAAATATTGATGTTGAATTTTCAAATTTTAATATTAATTTCTTCAAAGATAAAGTATCCTACAACAACGTTCTATTCTGTTTCATCGATTTATTTTTATATGTAGAATCTCTTTTTGTACTGGTAATATCCTGTTTATAGGTATGAAACAGCATTTAATTTTATATATACACGCACACATACACACACACACACACACACACACACACACACACACACACATAT